GTTAAAATTAGAAGTGCCTAGTAAACATATCCTACCACCCCTTTCAGCCGGCTGCGTTTTGGCGCGAACGCGCCCATGGGAGACTATCAACACTCCCAAGAACACGCGCCGTGGACTCGGGAAAGAACACCCCCCCTCCCCCGGAAATCGGCGCAAGTGGCCTGTTTTTACTCGTGTCTAAATGCACCAACTTTGTTGCCGAAAATGGTCGGTTTAAATATTAAACTCGCTGTCAGAGCGCCCTCGTGTTTTCACCCCCCCCCCCCGCCGCTGCCCGCACGAGCCACGCAGCTCAATGCTACTGCTCTATGGACGCCGCATTGAATGCCGGCTGAAATATTGATGCCGATCGCATTAAAATATGCATGACAATTAGGAAGGTAGACTGAATATTTCATTCCGCCACCGAAACTTCATACGCGACCAAAGTTGGCTTTCATTGTCCCTGTCGCGCATAACGATCTAATATTAATACCATCCCAAAGGTGTCGTTAGGCATGAGCAGGGCCTTACAGAACGCCAGCGTGATGTCCCAGCTGCCTCTCTCTAGGAGACCCGACACAAAAGAAGCCAAAACAGCGACATGATTCGGTTCCCCGAATGGAAATCCGTAGCGACACTATCGATTGTTCGAGCGAAGGCACCACCCAAAGGCGTGGCAGCGAGAAGCCATGTTGATTTACGATAAAGCCGTGCAACACGTGCGGTCATCTCCGCGCGATAGACAACGGTCACCAACGGTCACTGCTGGTCACCAACGGTCACTGCTGGTCACCAACGGTCACTGCTGGTCACTGCTGGTCACCAACAGTCACTGCTCGTCACCAACGGTCACTGCTGGTCACTGCTGGTCACTGCTCGTCACCAACGGTCACTGCTGATCACCAACGGTCACTACCCCCTCCCCCTCCCGCGAGGGATCATCATGATGAACTATCCTATCCCGCTTCGAAACTTCCCCGCAACTGCAAAAATATTTCACATCTTTTAGATCCAGAGGTCAACATCGAAATCAGATGTTAAAACGAGACCCTGCAAGACACTTAACTGTACAAATAACAACAATAGCAACCTCGACCCCCCCCCCCCTCTGCGGCGTCATCTTTAGAAAACACTGATCAAGATTCGAATCCTTAAAAATGAATCGCTATCTTAGTACGACCGAAAAATAACCCTCAAAGTATAATAATTAATCATATACAAAACATGACGACCACGAAATCGGATAGCAGAGTCTGTCACTGCTAGCGGCCACTATCTTAGAAAAACGTTTGCATGATCATTGGCGCACAAAGCAACGACTGAGAATGCGAGCGCAGACTTCAACCTTAACAGCAGACGTCGCCATTATTAACAAACACCGCTAGGTAAGAAGCCATGAATGCCACGAAGATTCAAGATTTGTTTTGCATTTTGCATGATTACGCTCTCAGAGCCTGACGTAACAACTAACATCATTGTCGTAAAAACCGAAAGAGAGAGAGAGAGAGAGAGAGAGAGAGAGAGAGAGAGAGAGAGAGAGAGAGAGAGAGAAAGTTATCCTTCCCAGCATCAATCTCGTCTTGGAGACTGATTGCACGAGATTTCATTTCATGCGACTAGAAAATATATTTGTACCACTATATCATCACCATGTGCCGAAGGAACACGCAAACCCAAGTTGGATCAGCTAGCTTGGGCAAGTAACTAGACTTTGTTATGTCACAAGCAATCAATCAGGCTTGTGAACGAGATTAAGGGGTTTTCGGTTTGATCGGGGCATGGCCTGTGCACGATCAAGACTTTTTCACAAAATCTTCTCAAAATATTTTTGTCGAAACCGATTCAGATCCGATTTCGGCGGTGACTGCACGTGACGACAGTGTCTTAAGTGAAGAATTCACGTTGCCAGGTACTACGACAGAGCACAGTGCTGAAGCACGTGCTATATCAAACACACAAACCCAGCAACCACATGATGGGACGCAGTATTAGTAAACTCAGTGTCATGCTGATATTCTTGCTCCGCGCATATAGATAGAAGAAGAAATGAGTGAATAGCGGATGTGTTGAACGATACATTCATAATGAGAGGTGAACGCCTTAAGCATACACACTTAGAAGTAAAAAGTATCGGGATCAATTCAAGAATCCGGCCCGCGATCGCATCGCTGCACGTGTCTGTGAGTCTCCACGTGGATTTTATTTGGATAACTTTTGTTCCGTCTTATTGGTTTATGGATTATTTTGAATAGAATAGCGACATTTTGCACTCCTTTTTTAATCAGGCCACTAAACTTTGTGAGCAGTATCGTGCATGCTCTCACTTTCTAATCAGCTGGAATTATTTCTACGAATCCTCTCAAGGCTCTAGTTGGACATTTGTCCCTTCTGGAATTCCCGCTGACTTCGAACATCCTGCCTTGAAATAGTTCACAGTTCATTAACGCAAATCCTATAAAAGATACATGCCACTGCGAGATTCTAACGGACCTTTACGGTTGTGCTGCGATGTGGAGAAAGCGGCGCAAACATTTCAGTGAACAATCGTATGAACACTGCATGAACATACAGCCGTTGTTCACAGAAGCGTTCTCCATGACGGTCGTCGTCTACCAGCCAGCCAGCGACATGAGTATACACACGTATATAACCATACGTGAATAAACAGCGTCCGATGTTTCGGCGACTCGCGCTCGCGTTCTTGCACGTCGTCATCGTCATACCGCAGGACGCATCGCTGGATGCGAATCCCACGTTCTTCATTACGTACACGCGCACTTCTTTCATCGTGCTCCGCGACGCGGCGAATGGACTCTCGAACAGTAATCGACAAGACAAAGGAGAATGGAGTACCGATGACGCAACGCAGGTTTCTATATCGCGTGCAGCAAGTCTAGATCTGCTGCTGGGTCTGCCTGCCTCACTGATCACACGCTGGCAGGAGAATGCAATGGCGAGAGCAGGCCGGGTTAGCGAGAGCTACTGTGCGAAATATGGCTTCTTCATCTTACAGTAGCGAGGATGTGTACGGATGCGAGACCCTTTGAATCTTTCGTGAGTGCATTTCATTTTAAATTCATAACTATTTCAATTACCAACAGGTAGTTAATTAGTTACATTAGTGATGTTAGGTTAAATTACTAACTTAACTAGTGAAGCCCTGTTCTATTTAAGAGCCTGTTGCTGATTGCAGACATGAAACAAGCAGTGCCAACATAAAACGAATTCTGTATTACCAGACAATGCAAACACAGTTTTTCGCAAATTTAAATTTCATAACACCTACCGACTCAGGAATGATATAGTTCTAAAAGGCAGCTTCTCAACACGTTGTTACATTGCCTAACTTGGGCATGAGCATGCAAGCTGAAGTTTTGCTGCTAAATGTGCGAGTGACAGCCGGAAATCGAATACAAAGTTACAGAGAGTGAAGTAATGCATCACGGAAGAGGGGAAATATTAGTACGGATATAAAGAAGGGGCAGAGATAGAGAGAGAGAGAGAGAGAGAAGAAAAAGGGAGAGAGCGAAGGAGAGAGGGGGTAGAGGGAGAGGGGAGAGGGAGAGAGGAAGAGAGAAAGATAAGAAAAAGAGAGTGAGTGAAGAGGGGGTAGAGGGAGAGTGAAGGAGGAAGAGAGAGAGAGGGAGAGAGAAAGAGAGGTTGGCAAGCAGGTGGCATCGATGAATAATTTAGCCGCGCATCGATCCGGCAACCCTGCAGCAACCATCGCGAGACTGGTAGGCAAAAACCAGCAACAACAGCTGACAGGCAGCAACACCGCTCGTTACCTACCGCCAGCGCCGCTCTAATCGCTGACCCGAACCACCGCACACAACATGCATGACCTCCACGCTGGCTGACCCCGGGTAATCACCGGAAGACTAACGAGCCGGTGTTTCGCGCGCCGAGCGGCCGCAATCATCCGACGAAGAAACTGCTTCGAGGAACCACGATGGGGATGCATCGGCAATGCAAGATGGAGGTCAAAGGTTACGGCGCGACTCTCGCGACGCACGAATGGCGACCGGCCAACACCGAACGCCGTCGCCCCGCGACACAGCGCCGCACTAACCTTTCAACCGCTTCGGGCAGACTTCAACATTTATGCATGCATAATTTAGGCACGAGTACATCATTTTTACAAAAATGCGTGTAATTTCCGAGCCGGGGCCTGCATCATAATGTACGACGGTAAGCAGAAGCACCGTCGCTTCACTCACCAAGGCTACAAGCGGCGTGTCAATACGCAGCATCGCCCCGGCGCAAGTCCCGCCCCGGGGCGCACCGTCGCAAGCGCGCCTCATCAAACATTCACCAGCCTTCGAAGCGAGCGGAATGTCACCCCCCGCATTAAAAAAACTTCGCGAGCGTCCCTTTGTGTGGAGACAACGACAAAGTTGGTTTTGTCACTGACGCAGCTCATCTGACGTATTGCTGCCGACATCTGCGATTATTCTCCTGATGGTTGCTAGCCAGCTTCGACAAACAAACATGCGGCAGAGGGATGATACGGCTGCGCTTTGAGTGCAGTTTGCAGCGAGGCATTCGCACTGCCGCTAGGTATTAACGCGTCAGGAATAACGCACCGAACGAATGCAATTCTAGGTATTAGCTTGAGCAGTATTAACAAACTCGCTCGTATTTCTTCACCAAACTGAAAGCTTGGTTTTCACACATCGCCCACTGCTTAAAAAAAAAGTACCCAGACAGTCTGTCCAAACTCGCATGCGAAACGGTCCCATAAATTCATCCAACCTGTTCTTTGTCACTCATTAGTGATCAAACTCATTAGTGATCACTCATTAGTGATCAAACTCATTAGTGATCACTCATTAGTGATCAAACTGAAAGTGACGGCGCTTGCATGAGGTGAGGCACCATGAGTGAAGACAAACCTGACTGGCAGACCCTCGCAGCTTTGTATCCCAGTCAGGACGAAGACCACAATAGCTTCTGCCACTACATCAAGTGACAGGTCCCTCGCAACAGACAGACGAAATTTTATTGAACACCTGACCCACCCACATTACTGACCCACGTTATTGAAGGTGTCCGCACGACACTTTGAAACAGTAGAACTATGGTAGCGAACATCCAGCGTAACCACGACGACCAAGAGCGGCGAGCGAGCGTCGCCACGACAACCGAGAGCGGCGAGCGAGCGTCGCCACGACGACCGAGAGCGGCGAGCGAGCGTCGCCACGACGACCGAGAGCACCGAGCGAGCGTCGCCACGACGACCGAGAGCACCGAGCGAGCGTCGCCACGACGACCGAGAGCACCGAGCGAGCGTCGCCACGACGACCGAGATCACCGAGCATACATCACCACGACAACGACCTACCTTTGCGAGTTCGGCTTCGAGCACGTCGACCTTGCAGAGGGCGCTGTCGAGCTGCGAGTAGAAGCGGGCGCCAATCATCGGCATGATGTCGTTCACGCTTCGCAGCCGCGGCTGGTTCGTCAGCAGGTACCTGCAGCATGTAGCACGCCGTCAGCAAGCACGCAGCACGCAAACGCGCACGCATATACTAATAAAAATTGTTAAATAAAATAAAAATTGTTAAATAAAATAAAAAATTATAATAAAAAACATGAATTAAAACACACACGGGGACTAAACGTGGACACTCGAATCGAGGTTTATTGCAATATCCATTTCGCGCAGTCTTCTGATATCGACGATCGATGGCCTCTCTCATCGCCACCACTTTCTAAACGCCATCGAACATATTCTGCATAACTCGATTCGATTACTCTGTGAGGCACTCGAGTCTGAGATGCAAGCATGCTCTCGTTCGTTCCACGCACAAAAGAACGTCCGCGGGATAGGCGCAAACTGAGCATGTGGTGGCGCGTGCCTCTACGCGAGATGGTGCGCGACACCATTAGACAAGACGAACGGAGAGTTTTCGACGGTACGAACAGGATAAGATTCTTCAGATCTCCAGAGTAGTTTCGAGCGACCATCTCCATCGAGTTGTGTATGTGCTCTCGTTGGATGGCAGCGACAGAGTTGCAGGCAAGTGCAAGCACAATCTTCCCCAACGATATCAAGTCTTCTTGCTGGAAGAAATCAACACGCACATCCGTGACTTCCGCTTCAAAATCTATCGGCCTCAACGTGAAAATGAAACGACGGACATTAGATCAGCTATCACTCTAGATTACACATTTCGTTTCCAAGCAGCGCGTTACTACAAGTGAACAGCAAGTGCTGCTGCTAAAAAACAACTGAATTGAACGTGTGCAGCAACACACGTTTGCATTTTCAGCCCCATGAAGTATACATAACACATCAGGTTATGCATGCTGTTAATATCAAAAAAAATATCACTCATACATATTACAGATAAAACTAAATTAGTAAATCCCCTACAGCATCAAATTGCGATCTAACCTGAGGGTTTCTATTACGGTAGCTGTGTCAAGCCTCTTACCACTCGAGTGCTATATGGACCAACTACGAATACGCGTACACACGCAAGTGTACACATTGTTAATATTCAGCAGTACTGTGGTTAAATAGTCATAACGCCTGAATATCATAGGACGTTGTAAATTAGAAGACAGACACTCGATCTCAAGCATTAATCGCTGGGGCAACCTAATAAGATTTGTGCAAAGCAAACCTTTACACGCTGGAAATTTTTGCTAGACTAGCGCCTGTCACTGAAATAACATGCCACATCAAATATGCCCAGATTCACTTTCTTATCTGCCAGACAATGGTCTTGAGACAATTAGGGCCCAATCAATTATTATTTTTTAATTAATTAATTTTCAATGCTATGGAAGGCCAAATTACATGGGTAAATGCATACATTTTTCCAGTGGGAAGAATATACCTAAAAGGGGGTTCTATGCTTTAAAATTGAATTTCATCAATATAACCTGGTTCAGAAAATGCATCGATATAGTAATTTTTCCCTCACTATCGAACATGTGAGGTATGCATTGCCCGGCCCAGCCCCCAGTCATTCAAATATATTATTTTAATATTTCACGAAAAAGTACATAATTCATTCAAGCTTCCAGCAAACCTTGTCTTATATTCATGCAAATGGCATAGGGAATAGAATTTCTGAATACTAGCATTTCTCTCATGAAAACTACTTTCTACGGACAGATGTCTTGCGGCTGCATACCAAATCGACAAGACGCTTTTACTCAAAATATGAACACACGCTGCATAAAAATAATAATAGGTAATAAAATAGAAAATCACTGAAAATCTACAATACCCACTCCGTATATGAACACGCTATGAAATTCCACAAAGCACTTTTTACACTAACGCAATTTTACGTATTAAACAATTGCAGAAGAATGGCACCAGGTGGCAGCACGTTCTAACCTTACCTGATTCTGTGGCATCATGGCGATAGGGTTTGGTTGAGTAGCATCCAGACTCAGCACGTCGAAAATTCCCACACAGTTTACTCGCAACCTTCCAAATAGAACGTTAGAGAGAACATCAAATAATCACAGTGCAAACCCAGCCATGATTCCGCATTCATTAAAGGGAACTCCTAACGGAAATTAATCAAGATAACACAGTATGCAACAGCTACAGCAGCCCAACAATACAAATATTTCTTTTCTATAGCTTCACAAATGAAAGGCTAGGTAGGGCTAGCTAGCTATAACCTTATAACCTAAAACCATACCCTACAAGTGATAAAGAAATGATCGATTTCTTCGCATAAGTTAGAGGCACACAGTTTAGAATTTTTCCCCAAATCACGTCGGCTCTACACACATAGCCGCTAAGCAGTGAGAAATATCACGAATCACACAAACATCATGCAAATTTACACACCCTCTTAGTAATGAATGATTGATCTAAGTAAGTCCGATAACCACGGCTGCCTTGGATGTGCTTTTTAAGCGCGCGACCCAGAATATAATCTTTGTAACATTTCATTGCTAAGCATTGCATTTGCAGCAGCCTATTGCAACAATGCGTAGTCTACAACTGCCCCTCAATCACGCGAGGCAAATAGGGCAATTTTGCAGCAGTAGTTACTACTGCTTTGTCACTGAAACTTGCACATCTGGTCCTTTTCTTCATCAGCCACTACCCAGCCCTGCACTTGCCCCCATCCTCCCCCTGCCCTTAATC